CAGATATGCTTAGTTAGCATAGCATTGCTTTTGGACGATTGTTTAGGTGTAGTGGGTGATATTCCTAGAGTCATCTATTCCAGGTGCTACTCTTTTATGCCATATGGGTTGTGAGACGGCTTTATTAATCACGACTCTTGAGATGCTGGTTGTTTATTGTACCTTAGTCATGCTTGGGTTTTGTAGCGCATGATGCTATTCATCTCCCCAGAGTTGTATTTATGCACTTGGCGTGTTGTGGTCAATATTCAGGCATATCGTGTGTATGAGCGTTATGGCTTGACGAATATTTCCTTATTGATTTTTAGGTGTGGATCGGGTGGCACGTCGTCACGTGTATGATGTTTGGATCGGGTTGCACGCCGTAGCTGTATCATGTTGGTACGGTTCCTTGTACGTACCTTGTGTGTTTTGTTTCTCACCTTTGAGATAGGTACGTAGTATTCGTTTGGTTGTCCTATTCGTTATGTTGGCTGGGTAGTTCTTTGCTAGAGTTCATTCTTTCGTATGGATCATATTCGAGCTGTAGCTTGTTGGCGCGTTGATGGCATTATATGATATTTAGACGGTGTTTGAGGTGGATTATTGCCCGAGTAGCTTGTACTGGGTGAGACGAGGTTATTGGGCTTGAAATCCATGCGAACGAATATATGTATGGTATATTAAAGTGAAAATGTCACTAATCAGTTCAGAGTGAGGCAATGGTTCTTGTCAAGCAGAGAGACTCCATGAATTATTGATTTGGCTGGTGGTTATGAGTTTATACACATGTCTTTCATCGTTGCAGTAATGCGAGGGTTGGAACCAGACTTATATCCGTTAAGAGGTATACTATGTGCATCGGGTTCGTGAAGCTGTAACTATTGTGGTTGGAGGATGTTAGTATATGAATCCAAATTATGCGGTGCAATGTATGATTGCAACATGGGTGGATGATCATGTTTTGCGTTCAGCGTGTTGAGATTGATACGGTGTTCGTATGTTAGAATCAGACCTTATAGAAAATTTCGGATGTTGGAATTTGGTTCTAAGGCTCGTGGGCAAAGGTAGTAGGAAGGATCTTCAGTCTGTCTTTAGCTAATGTGCTCATATGGATTGTGGTGGCATGGGTAGGTGCGCATGGTGCCAAACAGTGATTTTGGGCAATTTCGGAGTGGTTCTTGGCACGTTCGAGGATGAACGTATGTTTAAGTGGGGGAGAATATAACAACCCGACCGGTCGTTTTGAGCTCTAGCACATCGTTCAGTGAGTTTGAGGCCTTGAGTAGCTTCACTTCATGTATTATGACTTGTACGTGTTCAGAATTGAATTTCAGGAAGTTCGGAGTCTATTTGGAAGGAAAATTCTCAATTCGAAAGCTTTAAGTTGGAAGAGTTGACTAAGATTTGACTTTTGAGTAAATGACCTCAGAATCAGGATTTGAAGGTTCCAATAGGTTCGTATGTTAATTTTGGACTTGGGCGTATGTTCGGGTTGAGTATTGGATGGTCCGGGAGCATTTTAGCGCTCATTATGAAAAGTTGGCATTTTTTGAATTTCCTAAGTTTGATTTGAAGTGGACTTTGGTGATATTGATGTCCGTTTGGGATTGCAAGCCTTGGAATAGGTTCATATCGTGATTCGTGATTTAAACATAAAGTTTGGCATCGTTCTGGAATGTTTAAGTATGATTCGGATGCGTTTAGTGAAGTTTGAATGTTCGAAAGATAAAAGAAAGATTTTGATAGTCGATATGGGATTTTAATGTTATTCGTGGCGTTTTCAGAGTTTGGATAAGTTTGAATAAGGTATTAGGACTTGTTGGTGTGATTGGACAGAGTCCCGGGGCCTCGGGTGTGCTTCGTGATGGTTTTAGACTATTTCTCTATGTGTTGCAGCTGCTGGTTTCTGGTGTGTTTGGTATGCATCGCGATCGCGGAAGAAGGGTCGTGATCGCGAAGAGTAAAGTGGAATGGTGGAGACTTTGTTCAACGCGATCGCAGAAGGTGTCTCGCGATCGCGAAGCTTTAGCAGGAGGTTCTTCGCGTTCGCGTGGGTGAAGTTGTGAACGCGTAGGGTTGTTGAGGCTGGACTGTTGTGGGAGAGTTGTTCTACCCGATCGCGTGAGGCCTGCCGTGCTCGCGTATGAGGAAGTGCTGAGGTTGGGAGTTTATACCTTCACGTTCACGATGTGTGGCATGCAATCGCGAAGGTTTGGATGACTGTGAATTGTGATCCCGAGGTGGAGCTCTCATTCACGTAGAAGGAATTCTAGGGCAAGTTGGTTTGGCCTTTGCGACCGTGAGGTGATTTCCGTGATCGCGAAGAGGAAAGGCCTGGGTTGACTTCAATTTATTTCGAGTTTTAGCTCATTTCTTCCACTTCTCAAATGTGATTAGAGATCATGTTAGATCGAACCTTATCACCTTGAGCTGTTTGGCGAGATATTCGAATTGGTGAAAGTCATGATTACTTTATGTTCCTGTTTTTATGTTGCAAACACGTATCCCGTAATTCTATAAGTTTCTTCTCTTCCTGGGGATCAGGCTGAACGCCTTGACATATATATATATATATATATATATATATATATATATATATATATATATATATATATGAGATGCATCCATGGATCGGGTCATACGACCTTGGCAGTGTATGTACACAACTATATGGATTGGGCCGAACGACCTCGACATAATTCATGCATAAAATCGCTAGGAGTCCGTAAACCCACGAGATTACCCTCTTAATTGAACTTGAAAATTACATGATATTCTCTTTAGGACCTGAGATCGGATACTTACTTGATGGTTCTTATTTGTTGAGATGGCATGTGGCACTTGGGATTTTTTTTTAACTGATGATATTTTGTTAAAGAATTCCATTATCTACTATTTCTTATTTTATTGATGAGTAACTGAGTTGATAGTTCACCGTTGACTTGCCTAATGGCGATGTTGGGCGCCATCACGATCTATAGCGGGAATTGGATCGTGACGCTGAAGTATTCTGCCTGCAAAGAATACGTGCTGTACCAATGGCACCTCTTGCGGAGAATCTCACACCTTCTTCGGTCACAGATGTAGCAACTACATGAAAATACATACAAAGGACCATAAAAATTAAGGAAATATGCAAATATCTGAAGGAAAGCAGAAATTAACTAGACCATGTATGTTATTGGTACCTGTATCCCCAATGGAGCTTGGATCACCGTGATTCAATAAAAAATACATAGAAACAGAAGAAGGTGAAAGACGGATAAGAATAGCATACGAGGGCATTCACACATGAAATTAACCGAACCCGTCTGGTCATCAATCTTGATGGTGACAATGTCGGACATGTTGCTAAAGTTTATGCCCCTCGGCAAGTTGCAATCGCAGTGGTAGTACTGAAAGCCCTCGAGGAGGCGGAAGGATATATACCAGGGCGAATCTGGTGGAGTCCATGCCTTGACGACTGGCTTCATTTGATTAATTCAACTACTTTCTTCAGCCAATTTCCTTGCTCCAGCCTTACGTCAAACACTTTTGTGGTATTGCTTCTTTGTTGAAGTTGGAAGACTGGATGGAACATGACACCCTTTATTAGTTTACTCCCGCCAATAGATGTTCAGCCAATTGCGTTACGTTGTTTTTGGTGACTGTGGTGACCCACCCATTTAGCGCGTGTAGTATTTAACGGTAAATGCGATTTTTTAATTTGATCTTTTGATGTTTATATATATATATATGCTATTATTAGAGTTTTAGATATAGGATAAATTAATGCGCCGACTCAACCTATAATATTTCCCAACACCTCGAAAGCCCTATGATTGAACTATGATGTGGATGATTATTCGATGCTAATTACCCAATTCTAGCGAGGAAAGTGGAGAGATACCCTATTTTTATTTCATCTTTTAACGTATACTCTAATTTTATCCGGACCTATTTTACAAATTATTTAACTGCTACCCATTTGATAGTAAATTAATAATATTTGGACAAAAATACCCTTAACTTAAACAAGAAAAAGAGTCTTCTTTCATAGTGTAGTACAATTGAGTTTCTTTTATATCTATTCTTTGTATAGCAGTACGATAAGGTATTTGTGTTTTATTTTTTTATTAATGGACATAAACTTCAGACAAGACTTGAAAATATGAACTTAAAGAAATATAGTTTAAGTGCATATGTTCTTCCTCCCTTTATGCTTTGTTGAGACGAGACGTCACTCCATTTTTAATGGTGTACTTCATTTCTTCTTTTCCGTTTTTTAACATGAAAACTTGAACTTATTACCGGTCTAAAATTTTCTTTTACTTCTTATCTTACATTAAAATTCTTTTAAGTATACATTATTCATTTTCGATCAAACATTTAGGACGCCTGAAGGCTGGGAAGTTCTCAACTTCATACCTAAATATATGAAGTTAGGCTTGAAAATTCTCAACTTCGGACATAAATGACTGAAGTTAGGTTTGAAAGATCCCAACTTCGAACATAAATGTTTAAAGTTAGGCTTAGAATTTTTCAGCTTCAGAGGCTGATCTAGAAATTCGGGACGAGGGGTGCACCATTACTTTTAACATAAACATTTAGTTTAATCATATAAAATTATACAATCACAACAATTTTGCAAATAAAAGATAATTAGTTTCATTATCACAAAAGAAATATTATCAATTTATAATTGTACTCGATGAGTTTTTATACTTTGAAAACAATCAATAATAGCATCATTACTTACAGTTGCAAATATCTTACGCTCTATATTGCAAACTAAACAACCATTCAAAAACTCTTCACTAATGCTATTACGTACATCATTTTTTATGAGCTTCATTGAGGAGAATGCTCTCTCCACGATTGCAGTAGCAATATGTAGAATCAAAGTCAATTTCACAAGTAAATAAATATGACACCAAGTTTGATCCAATTTCGTCTCCGCCATCACTATAGCAAGATCCTTCATTCCCTTCAAGTTGATAAATTTGCTATCAGGCATTCGAGCATAGACAATGAAACTATCAAAGCTGAAAGCTCAGATCTCGAAACTTGTTGTCATCAAACTCACTTGGATAATACTCGGCCAACTTCTTTATTCTGTCTTTTTCAAGATTAGCAAATGAATCAACTAGATTCAAACAAGCCATACCAAGGAGTAAGTCACTAGTCACTACATCAAAATGACTATTTAGCTTATGAAGTTGCAAATCAATAACTGCATAAAATACCCCCACACTAAAGTGATGTGAATATGAAACTCCGGACCTCTTTCGTTTCGATCTTGGATAGTCTTCATCCATTTCGGGAATCATAATATCATGTTTACCACAAAACGAGTAAACTTCATTCATCAAAGACTCCAATTCACTTTCTCTCATAGTTTGCAATCTTATCTTTGTAAGTTCAAGCAACCTCACATTGACTATTTCTCGATCTTTCTTTTGTAAAGCTTTGTTCAATTCATTTGTAAGAAGCAACATCTTGAACATCAAGTGCAATAAAAACACAAATTCAAATTCTTGAATATTACCCAAAAAATTTTTTGCTGCAAATCTATCAAGAGAAAGAAGATTATCTTGTTGCATATCTTTAAACACATTAACAATCAAAGAAAATATAATCAAGAAATTTTCCAACGTCTTAAAATGTGAATCCCAACGAGTATCACCCGGTCGTTGGAGGCCACGTTCTTGATTCATCCTTGCCCGGTAAGTATTTCTCCAGATTTAAGTAATTCTTCCAACTTCTCTACTTGGTGTTGTCGATGTAATTCCCTGCATTTAAAAGATGCTCCAATAGTATTCAATGCGTTAGTGACAACATCAAAAAAATTATTCACATCAGGATGCTTTTTAGAAAGAGCTACAAGTGTCAATTGCAATTGATGGGCAAAACAATGAACACAATATGTGGATGGAACATCTTGTAAAATCAAAGACTTTAGGCCATTTATTCTTCCTTGCATATTACTAGCTTCGTCGTAACCTTGTCCACGTAACTTGGATGAGTTTAACGAGTGATCCAAAAGCAAATCATAAATTGTTTTCTATAATGATGGTGCAGATGTATCATTCACATGGACAGTACCCAAAAAGCTCTCAATCACCTCCCCTCTTTTGTTAACATATCGTATGACTAGGGCCATATGCTCTTTATGTGAGATGTCCTTTGATTCATCGATCAATATCCCAAAAAAATCATCATCCAAATCTTTGATAATAGCTTTAATTGTTTCTTTAGCACAAGCATCCACAATATCTTTTTGAATTGTTGGACAAATCATCATATCATTTTTTGGAGCTTTATGTAATATTACCTTTCCCACGTCCGAATGCTTATTCCCTTGAAATTCCAAAAGTTCAAGAAAAAGACCTTTGTATTCGGAATCTTCACATTCATCATGACCACGAAATGACAATCCATTTCTTAAGAGAAATCTTACCACATCAACCGAGGCATTTAAGCGTATTCGATGATCATTTTTTGCTTTCTCACTTTGCTTGTGAAAAGAAGATTGAATCGATTGTTCTTGATTTATCAAATCTTGCATCCTATTAAAATATTTGTGATGGATACTATTTACTTCCCCGACATTCATTCTAAATCTTTCCATACCCTTGTTCCAACCCTTAAAACCATCTTTTGTAAATGCATCCCCCGCATTACCGCGACTTTCATGTTCATTCTTAAACAAATAACAGCACAAAACACATCACCTTTTATTCTATATTCCAACCATTGAGAATATGGGCCCTTAAACCAATCGAGATTAATTTGATGCATTTTGTTCCCAAATTTAGTTTTAGGGAAAGCATGACCACTCGGTTGACAAGCCCCTTTTTGAATATAATGTCTTCTCACTTCATCTCGAATATTAGGGGCATACTGAAAAATCGGTATTCTTTCTTTAGGATTAGGATTGGGAGATCCTAACTCAAGAACACTATCAATATTTGAAGGAGGGGATAAGATTGTCCCTCTTTGGATTTCAGGAGCTATATTCGAACTAACAGAAGGCCGTCTACTACAATTGGAACTTGATTGGCCAATGTTTGACCCGATCAAAAATTTATCCATTTTGATGTTAAAGGATAAGTGTTCCTACAAATTCAAATATCACTCATCATCAAAATACAAATTCATAATAAAACTAAGGGAATCATACCCTTTTAAATTCATAATAAACTAGAGGAATCACACCCCTTCTACATTCAATAAAATAAGTGAATCACACCCTTTCAAAATTCATAAGAAACTAGGGGAATCACACCCCTTCTGTATTCAAGAAAATAAAGGAATCACACCCTTTCAAACATAATAAAAAGAGAGGAATCACGCCCCTTTCAACTTCAATTAAAATAAAATAAAAACTTACCAGTTCGTCTGCAACTTGTGATAATTTTATATTTGAGATCAAATGGATGTGTCTGCCCAGTTCTTCACTTGATTTTGTACTTAAAATATATCATAACATAATCCTAAAATTTTTATATTAAAAGAACCTGTCACGACCCGGCCGGTCGTTTCATGAGTTACCACTCCGTTTTTCCCATTTCTGCTTCTTATTGCGTTATTTATCGGTTTTATATGTGATCGGATTGTTACAACCCATATCCACACGTGTTAGTTCATGCCATATGTTAGTTAACATAAATCCAAGAAGGAATTATCTTTTAGATGATAAGAAGTTAATCCTATTGGTCTTAAGTGATACAAGGGTGTATAAGGGTGATTAACAAGTATTAGAAGTTAAATGAATCAAGGATGTTGTAACTCGTATTTTCGGGTAAACCTAAAGGTGCTTAATACACTCAATAGGTCATGTTTTAAGTTATTTGAATCATATAATATCCGTATCATAAGTCTTGAAGTCAAACGAGTTATGAAACAAAAGTCGACGAAAGTTGTCGCAACTTAGGTTCATAATTTTACTTAAACATTAGGTCAAATTTTTCTAAGCTTTTCTCCCAATTTACAAGGAATTACGGGTTGATCTACCCACCAAATTAAAGATCTATGGGTCTAGTTTCCAACGCATTAAACCGTTTGTCAATACGATCTGGGAGTATAGAGATATTCATATTTTTGCAAGCCCGCGCAGATTGGTAGGTGACAAGTAGGTGCATCATCTACTTGCAAAAATGAGAGGACAAAATTAAAAGCCCCAAAATCGGCCAAGAGAGGACTTTTAAGGGATTATAAAATCAGTTATTTCACCAATATTTCATACCTTCAAAACCAAATTGAACCCCTACAACTCCTCCCCAAAAATCCGACACAAACCCTAATCGATTTTCCCTCTCTTTCAAGTTCTAATTGGGGGTAAAACCTAGAGTTTGAAGAACCAAGGGAAGGGCTGAGTTATCCAACAAGTAAGGTAAGTTTACTGCTCTCTTTCATATATTTTTTCTACTGTGAATTCATGGTAATTCGTTCTATACATGTAAGAACTCACGGGACGGTGATCGGAAGCCGTGAGTTCGAGTTATTCACTTGTAGCGGACTGTTTTGTGGACTGTTTTGTGTTGCTGTTGGGCTGCGTGTTTTACTACTATTTTGTGGAGTTTTGGAGGAGGAAGGGTTTGGAGAAATACCATATCGATCTAGGGTTGTGGGCTGGTAGTTCTTCGTAACATTTTCGGGTCGTTTGACACGACTACGGTGGCCGTCGTATGTATGAAGTGATTAGGTTGTGCGTGGACTGTTTTGGGAGGCTCAATATGATTATTATTGATGTTGTTTGGTGATTGTTTTGAATTGTGTGAAGTCATATATATAGGGGAGGTGCTGTCCATTTCATCCTAAAATAGGTTGTGGTCGATACATAATAGTTATGACGCTTAAATGATAACGATAGTATCGTTTCTCTTATTGTAGACTAAGGAGTTGTGACAATTGCATAGCTTGAGATTGGGGCAGTATATACAAGGTATGTGAAGCTATCCCTTTCCTTCTTTTGCACGACTCCGATTTTACATAATGTAATGAACAAGCTTCCAAAGATACTCTACTCTTAGAAGCTAGCAGTACTTACATTGTTTCCCCTCTTATGGAACGATTGATGTTAATGTTGCTTCTCTTATTCTTATATTATCAATGTTGTTGGTACTTCCTGATTCTTATAAGGTTCATATGAGTTAGTCCTAATAACGTGTACAGAGGATACCGACCTTACGTCCGAAAGGTTTAGAACGTGATTCCATGAGTCGAGCATGCACTATATATATGTATCTATTTTACTCTACCGAGCCAAGCTATAGTCGGCCGGGTACGACACCTATTGTGCAACCACTGATCAGTTGGGTTTTACCGAGCTCCACGTGTCCGGGTACGATACTACCGAGCCTTATGATGGCTGGGTACGTTTTTTTACCGAGCCTATTAAGGCCGAGTACGATATGATGATGATGATGCCCACAGAGGCGTATGTTTTAAAAGTTTATGTATTTATACATATGTATTATGCATTTCATGTCAGTAGACCTCAGAGGTACCCAGCTGTTACAGGTTGTATATTCTCTATCCCTACTTACATTACTGTTCGTATTATGGTTCCCTGCCTTACATACTCAGAACTTTATTCGTATTGATGTCCTTTTATTTGCGAACGCTGCATGTCGTGCTGCAAGTCCTGATAGACAGGCAGGTGCAGCTCTCCCACCACAGTAGGCTGTCCAGTTCAACGGTGATTGGCGAGATCCCTTCTCCGGACTTGCTGTGGTCTTGGTATGCATTTTTGTTATAGACATTATGGGTATGTCGGGTCCCTATTCTGGCTTTGTTGCAGCACTTATGTTCCTTTAGAGGCTCATAGACAGGTGTCACTCATGTATAGTTTGGTATGTCTTGTCGGCTGGTTTTTGTTGTATAGTCTTTCATGGTAGCGTGGTAGCTCATACCTTATATATAGTTTCTTGATTGTCTGGTCATCCCAAGTTATGTATGTTCATGCCATCATATTTTATTGTTGGTTGTCCATGATCCATGTCCACCATTTATATTGATCTCGTCAGCCCTAAAAGATAATAAAGAAGGTTAGATAAAATGTACGTTGGTGCTCAGCAAGTATGGCCGGGTGCTAGTCATGGCCCTCCAGTTTGGGTCGTGACAAACTTGGTATCAGAGCAAGTCTGTCCTAGGGATTGTCTATGAGCCGTCTCTAGTAGAGTCTTGATTATGGATGTGTAGCGCGCCACATTTATAATCGGGAGGCTATATGACATCTAGGGTTGTTACCTTCTTCCTGAATCTAGATCGTGCGTAGAGTTGAGTCGTAAGTGTTCGTCTCTAATATTCACTTTGTTTTCTTTCAGCGATGCCTTCTACTAGGAAGCAAACAATTAGTAGACGGCTTGATACAGCTGCGGGAGAGGGTACCAGTCAGGTGCCCCAAGCCAGAGCAGGACAAAGTGAGGTTCAGAGTGAAATGCCGTCTCATACCTCATCTACTCCGTATCCTCCAGAGGAAATTAGGAGGCAC